GCAAGAGAAAGTGGCCTCCCTCACCATCCTTACCCCATTGTACTCAAGGGTGCCAGGAGAGCTGCTCCAGGATTATAAACTGGACGAGCCCCAGGGAAGCTCGCCCATCCCCCCACTTCCGCCTTAGCTGTCCCTGCTCCCACGCAGGCTGAGGAAGGTGGACCCTATTTAGACAGGAGCGCCAATCCCGGGCCTTCAGAGTGACGTCACGCAAACGCGATTAGCCTTCCTTCTCTGCAGGAGGCAGATGCTGTTAGCTCGCCAGAGGTGTAACCCTTTTGGGGGAGGTTTAGCGGACTTGCTGACCTTGAGGAAATCTCAGTACTTTAATAATCTCCTTTTAAAAATAGATATTAAGTCAGGCGTGGTGGTTCGTGTTTCGTAATCCTAGTATACTGCGGCTAAGGGAGTAAGATTGCAAATTGAAGCCCTGCGTAGGCAATTTAGTGATTTAGGGAGACCCCGTCTCAAAATTTAAGAAAGGCGGGGGTCGGGGTGGGCTGAGAATCTAGTACAGTGCAAAAGTCCAGGATTCAATTCCTGATATTGAAAAGAGAAATACTGATATTAATACCAATCCTGAAATGGCTCATAAGACAGAAAACACATCTAGAGGAGGGAATTATGCTTTTAAAAAGTATGCTTTTATTTTATCTGCTTACTAGAATAATATGTTGCTCTTATAAAAAGAAATATAAAATAAAATAGTGGAAATCCCTTGTGCCCTCACTCCTTCCTAGCCCATACTTTATAACTATTAACACTTCAATGTATTTTTCACAAGGTTTTTTTTCTTTGTTCGGTGGTAGTGGTTGTTTCTGTCTGAGACAGGATCTCCAACATATTTCAGGCTATTTTTGTTTTGTTTGTTAATGTATTTGGTACAGGGTCTCCCTATGCAGCTTGGACTCATAGTGATTTTCTTGTTTTCAGCCTCCTCAGCGCTGGGATTACAGATGTGCGCCGCCAGGATATGAAACCCTGGTTCCTTTGCTTGCCTGAGCAGGTGCTTGGTCTGCTGAGCTATCTTCCCAGCCCTTTAGGCTGGTCTTGAGCTCACTGAGTAGCCCAGGCTGCTCTCAAACTTGCTGTCCTTCCTTGGCCTCCCAGAAGGCTGGGATTACAGGTTTATTTCTTTTTAATATTCTAATTTTAAATTAAATTAAATTTAGAAAAATTTGAGACAAAATCTTTCTGTTTCCCAGGTTATCCTGGAACTTCCAGCTCAAATAATCCTTCCTTAGCCTCCTGAATAGTTGGTATTGGAGAGACACACCACTGCACATGGCTAAAAATTAAATTTTGAGGAGGTACTAGGAATCGAACTCAGGACTTCACACTTATCAGGCAGGCACTGCACCATTCAGCTAACTCTCAGCCCCTAAAAATTAAATTTTTTTAGAAAAATTAAAATTATACTAACCAGGCATAGTGGCACATGCCTGAGGCAGGAGAATCACTATGAGCTTGAGGCTAGCCTGGGCTACATAAGCGTGTTCAAGGCCAGCCTGTATTACACAGTGAGACTCTGTCTCAATAAATAGATAAATAAGGGCTGGGGAGATAGCACAGCGGTCTAATAGGTAAATAAAAAGTTATACTACTCTCTTTTGCTCACTTATTCATTTAGCAATGCACTGAAACATCTCTATTTTCTTCTTTTCTTTTTTTGGATAGAATCTCTGTTTTATTTAGGCTGGCTTTGGGTAGACTAGCTTTCTGTAGCCTAGGATGGTTTCAGGCCCACGGTAATCCTCCTGCTTCAGCCTCCTAAATACTGGGATTATTTGGATAAGCCACTATGTCTGGCTCTTAAACATTTTCAGTGTTGGTATGAATAGATTTATTTCATTCTTTTTAATGTTTACATTGCATTCAAATCTACTTTTATTGAACATTTGTTTATGTGAGAAGAATAGCAGCAGCAACAAGAATCTACAGCAATTTTTTTTTTTTTTTTTTTTTTTTTTTTTTTGGTACTGGAAATTGAGCTCAGGACTCTGTGCTTGCTAGGCAAGCGCTTATTCTACTGAGTATCTCCCCGGCCTGCAGCAATTTATTTATGTCAGGAGTTCTGTAGTTTATATTCTTGGAAGTTGAATTTTTAGGTTAAAAACAGTGTGAGAGTTCAATTAATTGAGAGTTCAATTATTTATTAACTTAAATGTTAGTAAATATTATCTAATTGCTCACCAAAGAGCAGGCATTATATATTTCTACCAACAGTCTGGCAATGCCAGTTTTCCAGCATTCTCACAAACATAGGATGTCAATTTGGTACAGGATCTCGTTATGTAGCTCAGAGTCCTAACCGTCCTCCTGTCTCAGCCTCCCAGTACTGGGATTACAAACATGCACCATCACACCCTGTCTTGGTGGCCAGCTGGGCATAGGCTGGCATGGCATGCAGTAATGCGGATGGAACCCCAGTCCTTGTGCTTGCCAGGCAAGTGCTTACACAGCCAAGCTATCTCCCCAGCCCACATCATACTGTTTTTGATTGGCTTTTCTTTCATTGGTAGGAAGAACATCTTTTAGTTGTTCCTTTTCTAGAGATTAAACCCAGGGTCTTGCATATGCTCAGCAAGTGCTTTAGCATTAAGATCTCCTCAAGTAAGGTTTTCTTTTTGTTGTTTTTATTCTTGTTTTTGAAGATAGGGTAGTGCCTCAGTTACTCTTCTCTCATTGCTGGGACAAATACCCAGAAGGAAAGGCTTATTTAGCTCACAGTCAGTGAAGGTTTCAGTCCATACTCAGCTGACTCCAAGGCAGAGTGGCACATGGCCGAGAGCAACCTTTCATGGTGGAGGCAAAGAGCAAGAGCAAAAGGAGTGGCAGCAGCTCAGGCAGCTAGCTAACCTTTCTCCCCTCTTTAAATTATAATGCAAATTACCCATCCCAGGGCCAGCATGGAGCACTCACAACCATAATCCCAGCATTGGATCAAGAATCGATCACACACACACACACACACACACACACACACACACGAATTAATCACAAACTCCAGAAGCCACCTCTTGACTGCATGAAGTTTGTGGGGACAACTAGACACAAACCCTAACAGGTAGCCAGGCTATGTATCCTGGGCTGGTCTCAGACTAGCTGTGTAGCCCAGTTTGGCCTCAAACTCTTATCCTCCTGCCTTGGTCTCCCAAGTGCTAGGATTTCAGTAGAGTGTGTGACCTCGCCCCACCACAAGGAACACACATTTACTAACTTTTCCTTTTCTAAGAATTGCAGGTTCTTTTTGAAATCTTCTGTTTTCAACATTTCATCTCTAAAGCTCTAGTCATTTTTAAGCACCTAGGGAATATTTGATGAATGAGTAAAGAATAAACATAATCCAGGGCCATCGAGATAGCTCAGTAGCATAAGTACCTGCCTGACAAACACATGGTACTGAGTTATACCCCTGGTACAGAAAAAAAAAAAAAAAAAGGATAAACACAATAATGTATCTAGAGTACTAAATTCATAGTTAGTGATCAATAAGTGTTAGTTTAATCCAGATCTGGAGTTAGGAAGTGAGTTCTGGAATATTCTCAAATTCTTTCCCTCAGAAACTGAGATTGTTTAGTTTTTAAAAATTTATTCATTTTAATGAGAAAAAAGATAAAATAGCAATGAAACAGTTTCAAAACAGGTCAGTAGAATAGTTACAATAGTTAATACATTGTGTATTGTCTTCATAGTAGTTATTCAGAGGACAAGATGCAGACATATCTTGTCTAAACTATATTAGTACAAACTTTTATCCTCAATGAACTAAGAGAAAGTAGCTGTATATCTATCCTAACTCTCTTATGTATGCATATATATGGATTGTTGAGTTTTAAGAGTACAAAAGGCATGGCTTTTCCCTGTCTTCTCAGTGGGATTTCTCATTTCTCTGACCTCCATCTCCCTGCAGCAGTTGAACCAATGTCTGCAAGCTGCTTATACGAAAGGGCTATTAAAAAAAGAACCTGAGATTATTTACAATAAGATATCATATATTTGATATCTTTTAGAAATAAAAATAATTTAGTGTAAAAAATAAATACAAACATTTATAAGCAAAGAGTGGGTCTGGGGATGTAGCTCAGAGAGTAGAGTGCTTGCCTGGCATGTGTGAAGTCCTGGGTTTGATCCCCAGCAGCAAAAAAATAGAGTAGAGAGATAAGAACAGGATGAGAAAAAAAAAAAAAAAAAAAAGAGGCTGTTTGCCCCTTTAATGATATTAAATTTCTTTTAATAATAAATGACTTCAGGGCCGGGGAGATGGCTCAGTGGAATAAGTGCTTCCCTGGCAAGCACAAGGGCCTGAGTTCAATCCCCAGTTCCGAAAAAAAAAAAAAAAAAAAAAGAAAGAAAGAAAGAAAAGAAAAAGAAAGAGAAAAAGAAAAAGAAAAAAAAGACTTCATACTTAGTCCAGCCTCTCTGTCATCTTTTCACCAGCTCTCTATCGCCCTCTGTTGCTCACACGGTCTCAATTCGTTGCAGCCAAACTGCAAATATTAAAAAAGGAAAAATACTACTTATGCCAGTTTCTTTTTTAAAAAATTAATTAATTACATTAAAAATAATAATTACATTTATCATAGTGAATTTGTACCTGTACATAATATAACTTGATTTTTTTTTCATCCCACTACCCTCCCTCCAACCCCTCCTCCTCTGACTTTGGTTATTTATATCATCTTCACTGAACTCTTCTTTATTCTTATTGTATTTTTTTTTTTTGAGGCCCTGGGGATCCAACCGAGACCCTTGCGAATGTTAGGCAAAAGCTCTATCACTGAGCTACACTCTCAGCCCACTGCTCTACTTTTTTTTCGCATCGAGATCAACACAAGGTATTAGTCTGGGGCTGGGGATACAATGCGCGAAAACCGCGTACCAAAGCCTTTAATTGCGCGAGGGCTGACGGGAAGCCCAGGCTCGCAGGGCCTAGAGAGCGTAGACGTCATCATCACGCCCCGCCCCGCCCCGCCCCTTCGGATCACGTGACCGCAGGCTAACTGGGAAACGTGGGATCTGCTGGCGGGAGCTATGGCTGGCTTGGTTGACTTCCAGGACGAGGAGCAGGTGAAGTCCTTTCTGGAGAATATGAAGGTGGAGTGCAACTACCAGTGCTACCGCGAGAAGGACCCAGACGGTGAGCGTCGCTGGCAAAGCCTGCGGACGTGTGTGTGTGTGTGTGTGTGTGTGTGTGTTAGGATCTGAGGAGACCCGCGGCGGGTCGCGTGGTGGGCTGAGGACGCGGCGTGTGGGACACTCACGACCCGGTGTGGCGGGAGGGCAGTTGTATGCCTGCAGAGCTGCGCGGGACCGACTGGCTGGTTTTGAGGATAGAGAGACTTCGGCAAATTAGTAAGAGCAGGAAATTCCCTGACCTCGGCGAGCTTCCGTTCTTATAGTGAGGGAGTCGGTCAGGAAGCAGGTGAAACGTAGGTTAAGCGCTATGGGTGCAGTGGGGGAAAGAAGTAGGGGAAAAAGTATCAGGAGTTCAAGGGCACGATTTAAATGGACCGAAGTGCCTTTGAACCAAGCCTTGAAGGAGGTGAGAGAGTGAATCACAGTAGTGGGCGGCGGGTGTAGCTCAGTGGTAGAGCTCTTACCCAGCATTCTAGGACTAGTGAGTTGATTGAGTATGGGTGGAGGACGGCGTCCAGAGGGGGCCACCCAGAGCAGCCAATGTCTTGGGGGTCTCTTCCCTCTATATTATTATTTGTTTAAAGGAATAAAATGGCATGGGCCTAACTTTTATAGGGCGTATAGAGCTTGTTTCCACAATATGACTTCACTATTTCTTAAAGCTAACTACATAGAGTGACTGTACAGTATAATAGGTGAAAAAGAGCCCCAAATTATTCTTTGAGAGCTAATTCATGTTCTGATTATAAAGAAGTTTCAAAGAAGTTGGAGTTACTGAGAAGCAGTGTGGTTGGGGGTAGTCTAGAGATGCAAGCACATATTATTGACTTAGTGGATGTGGCGAGAGAAAAGTACTCTTAGAAAGTTAAAGTCAGAGTGTAGTCAGAATTAAGTTCTTCTTTCTTGGGGCCGGGGAAATGGCTCGGCAGAATAAGTGCTTCCCTGGCAAGTGCCAGGGCCTGAGTTTAATCCCTGGTTCTGCAAAAAAAAATAAAAGGTTTTTTCTTCTTTCTTTCTTTTTGGAGTTCTGGGGAATGAACTCAGGTCTTCACACACACTAGGCAAGTGCTCCACCAGGGCCTTTAGAGTAAGGTTTGAAGAGAGCCTCGGCCACAATACGTCAGGCCTTTGAGGCCAGGATAGGAATTCAGAGTTGATTCTTTAGGTATATTGTTTGAGCACATAATTCATGCATAGGGCACTGCTTAGAATATACAGAGAAGAGGAGAATGGCCGTACAAGGACTGGCTGTAGTGATTTAGGAGACCTGAGAACAGCTGTGGTTACTGTCATTCCTAAATTATTAGTTCCTTAAAAGTCGTGTGTGTGTGTGTGTGTGTGTGTGTGTGTGAGAGAGAGAGAGAGAGAGAG